TTGTTCAAACCGAGTTCTTTTACCAGTGCAGTTAGTTCAATCGGTTGGGCTATTATCTTCGCGTCTGGTGCCATGGGTCATTGATCGAGGTCGTTGTGCGTTTATTATGGCTTCCCTGCTGCTGTCTCACAGATTTAGGTCGGCTTTCGCAACACCTAATGTGGCTAGACAGGTCGTTCCTACAACTGTATCAAGCTTGAAGTGCCTCAGTCAGGTTTTCCCTATTCCTGAATTTCACAGCCATCAGACTTGGTGACTTGATGGACATGAGGTGTGACGGGCAAGACAGCCTAGGAGTGCGAATGGCTATCGTGGTTTGAAGGCTACATGAAAGTCACCGCCACTGTTGCGCATCATGCATGTGAGCTTCATCCAAACTACCACTAGCTAGTTTGGGTACGCCGCCAACTACCATACTGGTCTGCTCTTGGCTACCTGGTGTTGTCTTGACTGCCACTCGTACTGACAAAGGTTTATCGTGTCCGATTACGGATCGCAGAGGACAGTCTAACCGATAGTATCTGAAATGAGAGGAGGATATCTTCGGTAAGTTGTGCCGAGTCTAGTAATACCCTCAATGGAGGGGGTTTCTCATTCGAGATGTTCGGGCCTTTGAAAAGGCGGCAAATTTTCTCTGGGGTACTGCACATTCCGAAGACTGCGCAGTATTTATGACACTGCTCTTTATCAAAGGCGGCCCTAACTCCTAGTAAGCTACCTTCCGGCACTGAAACATTAAATAAAACAAGTCAGTTTAGTTTACTGTCCCAATCCCTGAGTGGTAGCTGTTTGTGAGTTGAAGTGTTGCCGTTCCGTTTTTTTTCATTCACCCGTTGTTCCGTATTGTTAATAGGTACTGAGGGACTAACAACAGCAGGCAGTTCTGTAGGTTTCGGCTGCCTTGGTCACTTGTCTCACTGGTTCAGTGCCAGGCGATTTAAGTTTGTCCATTGGGACTTTCGAGCAGAGTTTGTGTAGGGCCTGCGGCTTCGCCAATGCCAAAGATACTCTGCACCGTGGGCAGATATACTAGAAGCACGGGCGGAGTGACTCAGCATGAACCCATAGTGCACTTAAGTTACTGCAGTTTCTAAATGACAATGGACCTGTTTGCTACAGAAATCGCATTCAGAAGCATAGTCACTGTTTTTGACTGGCAGTGAGCAGGCGATACAGTTATCCATGTGCGATTTCTATACGACTCACTGTGTCAACTGAACCTTAGGACGCCTTTTCCTCTTATTTTAATTTAGCCCACTAGTCTTCATAGGAGCAGGATGCGGTGGAGCTTGTTTGATACCTGGTGCAGGTGTTCTGGTTGAGTGGTCCGAACAATGAATACTACTCTGAGGAGTGCGCCTGAGTAACTGTTTGGGTTTTTGCCCGACTCTGCCTCTCAAAACTGGGATTTTCGACCAATAGTGACCCCGGAGTTCATACCTCTGCAGGTTTTCGTGGTCGTTATAGTGTGAGATGTGCTAGCCACCTTATTACTTAGCATGATACCTGAGAACTTTAGAGATGAACAACAAGGTAATTAATAGAGGAAAATACACGAAATAGGAATTTACGAAAAGCCGTGCCTGATGCATGTCTTGAGACTTACTAGTTCTTTTTATCGACATCCCCTAAGATCACTAACTTAGTCTATCTCCCTCATCATCTTTGTTCCCTCTCCCCTTGCTTACACTTTGGTTCTCTCGCAAAGTCTTCACTACCAACTGATAAACTTAAATACCTATTTATTTACTGAGTTCTGAAATCTGATAAGCATTAGACTTTTCTCCTTACAATTTCCGAATTGTAACTAACTGATCTCCAGCCTAGTATTGTGATAGCTGCTGGTATCCAGACACCTAAAAACCCTGAAACAAACTTCCTCATTCAAATTACGGGACATGCAAACTCACAAACCACTGCCAACTGACCTATTTTTGTTCAGTTGAGTGGTTAGACTACAGTCCAATGGACACTACCAAATACCTGGAACCGCCTCGAAAGAATTAGAATGGAGCTCATGTCAAACGATTGGTTTAACTAGCTCGTGAAAAATTATTGGATAAATTGGATATAGAATCGGTGTATAAAAGCTCAAAAAATTTATATCTTCACTACCAATTAACAAACTAAATTCATCTTTATATTACCCAGTTCTGAAATTTTATTCATATTACCATTAGAACTTTATCCTTATTATCCTCATTACTCTCCGCATTGCAGCTAACTGATCCCCGGTCTAGTAATGTGATAGCTGTTGGTATCCAGAAAGCCTGATGCCCTGAAACAAACGTTTTCATTGAAAACCTGAGACAAACAAACTCACAATCAACTGCAAACTGACTAGAATTAGACAGTCGGGTGGCTAGACCTCACTATATTGAACATTGCCGAACATCTGGAACCGTAGCGAAAGAGCAAGAATCGAGCGCAAAGAAATCAACTGATTTACACTACCTCGTCAAAAAGATATTGGATATTGGACATCGTTTAACGATATTGGACATCGTGTAACGATATTGGATATTAAAGATTATTCTAACGGTTGTCACGTGTGAACCGGTATTTCAATTATTGGACGATGATTACGGACATCCAGTTAACGGTATTTGCGAACATTGCTGGCTCAGTTCTCTTCTTGTTAGTGGTATTCTACCATTATGTTATAGTCAATCAAAAAGCACCGAATGTGAACAAACGGAAAATTAGGGGTGTTGAAGTGGATTCTGTGCCATATTAATATTTCCATTTGATATATTTTGCCTTTTGTTTGAATACTTGAATAATATATGCTTGTGATTTACATCTTTAGATGTTCTTCGTTCTTAAAAGTGATGGATCCAATGTATCATGTTATTAGGATTTTCGTCGAGTACCAACGGACATTTATGTAAACCGATTTTTTTTCGTACCCCTAGGCGTCATCGAATTATGTGGCATTGTAGTCTAAAAGACATATACTAACCATCCATACGTAATCAGTTATACCTCTGTTTTGGTAGGTGATGAGCTCTGTTATTTTATCCTATTCAGTCCCAGAAATCTCATAAAAACATTTTTATCACGTGTTATTGACGACTTACGAAACATGTGTAATTGACTTAATGCTGATGCACCCAAATTTATTAGTTTTCCAGGTTCGGAAGATGCTCTCATTCTTAGACGAGGTAGTGGAGTTCAGATGTAATCATACATAGTCTTAAGTATCTGATCTTCCGTGGTCATTTCGTTGAGTCGAGACTGAAGAAAAGAATGTTTGTCTAGTGATGTGGTTACTGTCACTTACGTATCTAGTGAGTATAGACACCCAGGAAAATTGTTGGACATTAGCTATAACAGACCAGCTTTTTAGGGTACACTTACAGTAACCTCTTCTGATTATTGTCTTCGATAGAAATAAATCTGATCCTGCCCTATAACTCTTTCAGGGAGAAGACCAATCGGCCTGGAAATTTTCGACTCGTGTTCTTAAAGGCGGACTCTACTGACATAGTTGTGTCTGAACGGTTTTGACAGACAGACACAACGCAGAACTTCGTTCACAAGTATATCAGTTCAGGTTGCCATACCAAATCAGCACACAGGCGCGACTCTCAGTTCGAATCCAATAGTGGTAGCGATAGTAGGATTATTAGCAGCAATGGCGAAGATATGATTCGAAAAGTATGATTCAGTGAGATTAATTTAGAAGGAGAAAGATAGAGGTTATGAGGAATTCAGAAGGCTAGAATTAGAGAGAACACAAAGAGTGGATGCACCTGCACTATTGCAAAAGATTTTGAGCCATGTCGTTCAAGGTCTCTAACCATTGGTGACTTTCATCTCACGGACCCCAACCAGGTAGTAGTCTACATCTATGAACATGACTCAGTCCACTTGTCAGTGACTTCATGGATTTATGCCATGTTTTGGTCTGGCCGCCCCTAGCTTTCTTCCAACCTACTCCCACACCACAAAGCATAGCTCGTCGAGGCAGTCGGTGGTTAGCCATACGTAACACATGTCCCAACCACCTCAACTGATGAAGTTTCAATGCTTCATCTATCCTTACCTAGTACTCGTTTCCTAACGACAGCATTGCTTACTCGGTTGTCCCACGATATACGAGCAATGCTTCTTAAACATCTATGATCGAATACTAGCAACCTACGAACATCTACTCTTAACGGCCATGTTTCGCATCCGTATAGTAGGACGCAGGTTGGCAAAACCCAATCGAGCCTTCTGTATTCGAGCTGAGATTTCATCTGTAACCAGGCCATCAGCACTGCTGAGACTCCCCAGATAAGTGAAGCGGTCTACACACTCGACTACTTCACTCCCTACCACTAGTTCAGGTGCCGATGCAACCCAATCTTGAAGCAACATTTTGCATTTCGAGGAGGAAAACCGCATCCCGAACATGCTTGTATTGTCGCTAAGGGTTGTCAAAAGACTGCATTTTGTCAGCGTCTTCACTAAGTAGGACTATATCATCGGCATATTCTAAGTCGACAAGCGAGTCTCCTGTTAGAAGGTCTACTCCTGAAAATTCTCTGGCGTATGTTGAGACCTGGTGCTACACTGGCCTTCTGCATTTGTTGTTGTGTGTTGGATAAAAGGACTAGCTCATCTGCAAAGTCCAAATCATATATCCGCATTCCAGCTGTTCACTATATTCCGTGCTTCCTCTGAGATGTTGACGTCTTGATATTGCAGCCGACTGCCAGGAGAATGGTGGAAAGTAAGCAGTCTTCTCTGATGCCGGTCTTCACTTGGAATCAGTCTGTGAGCCGCCCCCCATGCACGATTTCTCAGTGTAGTTCATCGTAAGAATGTCGTATGATAATAACTATATCAGGTACGCCTTAATGTCGAAGAAGCCTTCATAGTGTCATCTTGCTCACGCTACCAAATGTTTTCTCGTAGTCAAGGACGTCGATCTTGTGATTATCAGAACTATAATAGGGCAATATATTTCTAACAATCTGACAAAACATACTTCTTAAGAACAAGTTATACACGTAAAAACGAAAGGTATGCTAGACAAATGGAAGGTTAGAGAAAATAATGTGGAGTACAATGACACTCATCACGCTGGACAATCGAATAGTATTACGGAAGTAGGTCTAAGGTGGGAGGAAATTGTTTTTGAATACAGAGAGGGGGGCCTACATTTTCAACATTATAATGGTCGATTTTCACAGTGACTAAACATTGCTCTTTTGATTCCGTCATATCAGATGCAGATATAAAAGTCCAGACCGAAGCTGCTACCTTGACGTGGTGGTCGGGCTTGACTATCGTGATGACCCAACCGAGCTATATTGGCTGGAACTTATGTTCCTGAAGGTTCTTCCATGCCAGGCAGGTCGATTGGAGAACAATGCCTTCTCACAAGGAAGGAAGGGTTATAAAAGGTCGACCCTAAAAATGTCACACCTCACCCTACCTCACGGATTTCCGTCTCCGGCGGTAAGGGTGCCCACTAACGGCTTTCAAGAGCTGGGCTAACACTCAAAAAGCTCATAAAAGAGCCGTGCGTGACCGGCCTCAAGCAGTTGTCCATTGGGCTCTGCGGTCACGCTCCCAGGTCTCCAAGACCAACACTAATCTATCTTCCTTTTCAGGTCCCTCCAGAAACAACCTCCCACGGTGTGGGCAGCCAGGAAGTGCTAACCGCCCTCATACCCGTCACAGCTCACGAGACCGAATCGGTCCAAATCAAATCCTTCCTACACCCCCTAATACCTCTCTTACCTCCACGACGAACTCTTCTCACATTCATTTATGACAGTGCACAGCTAATGCAAACGATGCGAGTTCGCGAAACGTCGTTCCTGGTCTCTTTAAACTCCTTTCCAAACTACATGTTGGAGCATTTAATGTACGGACATTGTGTCAAATAGGGCAACAGGCATCATTAGCTAGGACTTTAAAATCTAGCTCAATCGATGTGTGCTGCGTCTCGGAAACGCGCATAAAGGATCCGAGTAGCATCATTCACTTGACCTCGCCATGTCAAGATAAAGCAACTCAATTTACCCTTCGTGTATCCGGTAGCCCTGATGCTGCTTCCGCTGGTGTAGGTATAGCATTGAGCCGTAGTACAGAGCAATCTCTCCTAGACTGGATCCCTGTAGATAGTCGCTTGTGCGCCGTCCGACTAAACGGGACAGTAAGGATTCGAAAGGATAGGGACACTCGTCGTTGCCTCTTCGTTATATCAGCCTACGCCCCCACTAACTGCAGTTCAGATGAGGTTAAAGATGAGTTTTACAGCAAGCTTTTGGACCTCCTCCAAAAAGTTAAGCGCTCTGATGTAGTCATAATGGGTGGTGACTTCAATGCTCAAGTAGGTAGACTAAGTGAAAATGAAAGACACCTAGGTGGATGTAATGTTCTCGCGGCCCAAAGAATGCTCAGATAACCGCCTATTTCTAGCAAACACTAATTTTAAGCATAAGGAAAAACATCTGACCTAGCGACCCTCGAAGTCGTCTCAACGTTGGACGCAACTAGATCATATCGCCATCAGCTACCGATGGAGGGGTTCGATAGAGGACTGCCGCTCGTTCTGGGGCACATGTTTGGATTCAGATCATGCCCTAGTGCGAGCTCTTATTTGTTTGAGGCTTAATGGACGTAGGAAAGACACCATAAGGAAGCCTCTTAGTGCTTTACTTAATGATAATCAATCTAAGAAAATATTTCAGGAGGAACTAGAAAAACAGTTAGGCAACCATGCAAGTGATTCGCATCCGGAGGCAGGTTGGAATCATATCAAGAAGTCTGTGGAAACAGCAGTGATATCTACTAGTAAGGTAAACCATAAGGCTCGAATGAAGCCGTGGATTTCAGTCGCACCAACCGAACTGATGGATGCTCGAAAACGCATCCCACATGACTCTGACCATGATGAAGAGCGTAGTCAGCTTAGGCGCAGACTTATAAAAAACCTACGTAACGACCGTGAACAGTGGTGGGTGGCGAAAGCAAAAGCGATGGAAAAAGCAGCGGCGATAGGCAACACTAGACAACTTTTCCGCCTTATTAAAGAAACCGGTATTAGGAACCCGAATGTGAGTGAGACTATCTCGGAGAAGGATGGTCTTATTATCCATTCTCAATCCAGGCGACTGGACCGATGGGCAGAACACTTTAGGGATCAGTTCAACTGGCCTCGAGCCATACTTCGGTTGCCCACGATCCCCAGTTATCCTGAATGGCAAATCGATTTAAGTCCTCCCAGTTTACATGAAGTTAAGAAAGCTATAGGAAATCTAAGGGGAGGTAGAGCAGCAGGTCCCGATAGGCTTAACCTGAGATGTTTAAGGATGGTGGTCCAGTTTTAACGGTTAGTCTGATCCTAGGTAGAATCTGGGAAATGGACGTAATCCCATCTGACTGGTCTCATTACCCTGTGATTGTCACAAGAGAACTTTAGTCCTTTCTTGTAGACTGGGACAATTAGCGACTAAGTTTAACTAATATAGTTTCTAAATTGTTAGCCTCCATTAAACTTAGATGTCTAACTAGAGCTCGTGAAGAGCAGACTCGAGTAAACCAGGCTGGTTTACGACCCGGACGTGGTTGTATAGACCACATTTTCACACTACGACAGGTACTGAACACAGACACACATTTAGGCGTCCTACAATAGTTGTGTTCCAGGACCTTAAGGCGGCATTCGACTCAGTGGATCGTGAGGTTCTGTGACAGTGTCTGTCATTGAAAGGTGTACCAAAGAAGTACATTAACCTTACACAAACTCTTTACTCGAACACTACTGGTCGAGCTTATGGCGAACTGTCATCTGAATTGTCTACATCAAGTGGTGTCCGTCAGGAATGTCCACTCTCTCCATTCTTGTTTAACTTTGTTGTAGACAACCCCTTAGAGTTAGCATTAAGCTCGTCAGATTTTTCAGGGGTTGACCTTCTACCAGAAAAATCGCTTACCGATCTAGAATATGCCGACGACATAGTTCTATTCGGTGAAGACGCTGACAAAATGCAGAGTCTTCTGACCACCCTAAGCAACAATCCAAGCATGTTCAGGATGCGGTTTTCCTCCTCGAAATACAAAATGTTGCTTCAAGACTGGGTTTCATCGGCACCTGAACTAGTGATAGGGAGTGAAGTAGTCGAGTGTGTAGACCGTTTCACTTATCTTGGGAATCTCGTCAGCGCTGATGGCCTGGTGAATGACGAAATCTCAACTCGGATACAGAAGGCTCGATTGGGTTTTGCCAAACTGCGTCACTTATGGTGTAGGCGTGATATCCGTTTGCTCACCAAAGGACGGGTGTAGTGCGCAGCAGTTCGCCCCGTTCTTCTATATGGCTGCGAAACATGGCCGTTAAGAGTAGAGGACATTCTTAGGTTACTAGTATTCGATCATAGATGTTTAAGAAGCATTGCTCGTATATCGTGGGACAACCGAGTACGCAATGCTGTCGTTAGGAAACGAGTAATAGGCAAGGATGGCAGATCAATCGATGAAGTGATGAAACTTCATCAGTTGGGGTGGTTGGGACATTTGTTACGTATGGCTAACCACAGACTGCCTCGGCGAGCTATGCTTTGTGGTGTGGGAGTAGGTTGGAAGAAAGTTAGGGGCGGCCAAACCAAAACATGGCAGAAATCCATGAAGTCATTGACGAGTGGACTGAGCCATGTCGGTAATTGTCGACTACTTGGTTGGGGTCCGCGAGATGATAATAATCGATGGTTAGAGACCTTGAATGACATGGCTCAAAATCTTTTGCAATGGCGCAAGTGCATCCATTCATTGTGCTCTCTCAAATCCTAATCTTCTGGATTCGTTAGCACCTTTACCTTAGTCTTTCTAACCTAATCTCACTGAATTATACTTCTTGAATAATATCTTCGAACCCTAGTCTTCTTTATTACCATTAATACCTTTACTATCTTTATCACAATGGGATTTGATTTGACATTTGCGTCTCTGTGCTAATGTGGTATGGCAACATGAACTTATGTACTTACAAACGAAGTTCTACGTTGTAACTGACTGACTGATATAAAAGTGAAACGAATTAGTTTGGAAGTAAATTATTACTTATGCTTCTTTTGAGAAATAATATCACAAAGCCCGACTTGTTCAGTTAAGAAAACGTTTTACTAAGGAGATTTCTCATGGTCGAATACTTCTCGACTCATATTCAGTTGTGACTAACCTAATGACAATCTAATTATGACTCGTTGATATGCACAAAGACAACAGTTTTCCAATTTACAAAGCCATATGGCACATTTTTTATGAAAGACAAGTTGACATTGTTTGCTGGGTTACTTGAGAAAGTGGAGTCGATCGGAAGTTACCAATAAATGCGTATACAAATTTAAATACAGCTCTTTAATCTCATTGCCTTTATTCGAATCGCTAATCCACCTTGATGACACATATTCACACCCGAATGATGTTACTGTTTTAGGTATGTTAATTTGATGATAAATTTGACTGAAAAATTATTCTAGGTTGTAAGAGGCTGATGAAAGAGAATGAATTAATGTTATTCTGCCTAATTATTTCTTCTTAATTTCTTGATCAGATATTTTATAGTACTACATTAGATGGTTTCACAACTAGCAATTATTTATTAGTGATATTTGCAATGTATGCGGAGTAATAGTCGCATGTGTATCCATTATCGCATTATATTCCTTAACCCGTAGTCATATAATCATATCTCGGAATTACTTATTTGATCTTCAGTGTTAATAAAACCATGATGCTTGTTAACCTTCTCCTAAAACTAAGCTACTCTTGGTTTTTCTCGAAATGTTCGCACATTAATACCAACGATGAAAATCCTGATTGTTTTAGTATTTCCATCTAACTCCATAAGTTGCGATTTGAAACTGTTAAGTGGTTACCCGCTACAGTCCACCAAACACTGAAGTTTAGAAGCGTAAAACAGAATTTCCCCGATTGGTTTATTACGACAAATTTATCCATCGAGCCTGTCCATATTGTCAACAATATCCTATCAGGCGATTGGTTATTCAAAATTTAACCAATCAGACTACATAACGGATAATGACCTTGGAAAATAAGGTTTGAACAAGTTGATGGGCGTTGTCATTATACGTGTAATGGATTGTGGAGAAGAGACATCAGGCCTTGTTGTAATAGGTGCCGGTCTAGGTCGCACTGGTACCAACAGTCTGAAAATTGCTTTAGAATTACTTTACAAAAAACCTTGTTATCATCTGAAGGAAATATACTTACATCAGCATTCACATATCACGAAATGGATGGAACTTGATCGAAAATTAAAAGAATCGTCAAATAAAAAGCTTGATAAAGCTCTGTGTCAAAAAATTTTCAAAGGATATACGGCTGCCATTGATCATCCTTCATGTGCTTACTACAAGGAATTATTAGAACTTTATCCTAACGCGAAAGTGAGTTTCTGATTGATATTTATTTGAAAGTGATAACTTGATTATAAGGTTAATAGATTTCTGAATGTTTCTCACAGTGCATAACTTTTATTAGGTTGTATATATTACCAGTAGTGGAATCATGAAATTGTTTGAAAACGACAGGAATGTTTTGACAAATGGGGCTCCAATCACAGATTGATGATTGTTCAATTTAAAAGACAATCGTCATCTCATGAGTAATTTGTTTGTGAATATAAGGATACTTTAAATGCAAATTTATCATTAAGTAATTTAAAAAACTATCAATTCTCCCTTGGTTCTTTTATATGATAAGGAAAATAGGTTTAATTTAGATAGGTTTTTGAAAAACAGCAGCTTTGTGAGTCTTGAAATTTAATTAATTGCGGTTCTTTAAACTTTTTTCAATAGCTCAGTGTTTTTTAGGCTGGTTCTGACTGCTTGTATCCAACACTCGAGTTTAGGGCGAGCAACTTTCGAACGCAGTCAAAAAAGTTTTAGCGTTGAAATGACTAAATGCTCTACGTATTGACCATAGCGTTCTAGAGTTTTACGCGGCTCTCATAGCAGTGTGCAGTAACTTTCAAACGATGGTTCCTACGTCATTGTGTTTCTAGATAACAGGTAGCTCAATGCTGTTCACCTTGATTGTATCTGTATCTTGGTGACCACTATCGATAATAATGCACTAAGAAACATTTATCGGTAACTGCTAAACTTAAGACTGTCCAGATAATTTCTGAAGGTCATCACGAAACACAAATCATTACCTTTGTTTTTTATCGCATATGACATTTGGTATGCGATTTCAAACATTTCAGTATTGTTGCTTAAGGTGATCAAAAGACTTCTTTTTTTTTGAGCGTCTTCACCAAACAGAACCATGTCATCTGCATATTCTAAGTCAATACGTGAAACTTAAGAAAACCAGGCTGGAGGAAGATATTTGTAAGTTAGTAGTAGTCAATCATAAGTATCTTCTAAACACATCCAATGGTAATGTTTCAATTCAAATCCAGATTTGTGTATTGAGGACAGAAGACTGATATTATTTACTAGCTCTTTTCTAGTAAATTTCTTTGAGTATCTAATCTTCCCTTGTATGAGTCAGTTGAAAGTGATTACGCCACTTATTTCGATAGCACGTTTCATGAATTGATTACTTGCTGGGTAAAAACCTGTATGTCAGGTGTATTTTGTTCGTTCTTGACTTTCCAACAATGACCCCCTAAGTTGCTTGGTCGTAGTCAGAAGAAGAAAAGAAAACGTATAAGGTCCAAAACCATTTCCTGATATCCTCTAAATCAGAATTAATCACTAGCTACTTTTCACAATGACAATAAAAAGTTATGGTGAATTTTCATTTCACATGGATCTATCAGTTAGGTGTCTAAAATATCCTATTAAGGATTTGATTTTGACCAATTTGGTCTCTCGTGCTGTTACGGGTATGAGGGCGGTTGTCACTTCCCGGCTGCCCACACCGTGGAAGGTTGTTTCTTGAGGAACCTGAAAAGGAAGATAGATTAGTGTTGGTCTTAGAAACCTGGGTGCGTGACCTCAGAGCCCAAGGGACAATTGCTTGAGGCCGGTCACGCACGGCCTTTTTATGAGAAGTTTTTTGAGTGTTAGCTCCGCACTTGAAAGCCGTTAGTGGGCACCCTTACCGCCGGAGACGGAAATCCGTGAGGTAGGGTGAGGTGTGACATTTTTAGGGTCGACCTTTTCTAACCCTTCCTTTCGTGTGAGAAGGCAGCGTCGCTGCAGATGCTGTTTGTCTGAGGGAAACACCTTACTGCTGTCACACACCTTTGAAGTCAGCAGTACGACTTCGCCCTCAGACCTTGGGTAGCTGCTTTTAGTCTCATCGTTCTCCGATCGACCTGCCTGGCATGGTAGAACCTTCAGGAACATAAGTTCCAGCCAATATAGCTCGGTTGGGTCATCACGATAGTCAAGCCCGACCACCACGTCAAGGTAGCAGCTACGGTCGGGTCTATTAAGGATATCTTTAAAGGACCTATTAATATACTTTAGCTGATATTCGTTTGAGGCAAATTCGTCATAATTTTGTAGAACGTTTTTAATCATTACATAGAGATTAAATTTCATTAGATATGACATTCTATCTCTTGAGTAGTTTGCCTGCCTAAACATGTCTTGATGTTAAAGGTAGAATGTGCAAATTTGGAACTTTGTAAGGGTTACTATTTCTGTCCGTAATTACCTCTTATTTAAACTAAACTAATAAACAATAGTAAATATCTCTGAAATTAAAACTCTTTAGAACCATTGCTCTTATATCGTGGGCCCACCGAGTAAGGCGTGCTGTTGTTAGGATACGAGTACTAGGTAAGGATGGCAAATTAATTGATCCAGTAGGGAATCTTCGTCAGTTGAGGTGATTGGGACATGTGTTATGTTTGCCCGAACACCGACTGCACGGACAAGCGATATTTCGTGATTTAGTGTTAGGCTCTCATATGTCCATGCATGTATACCCTAACTACCAGAAAAGACTTGCTCACTGTCTTCTCACGGCAAGCGTGTTTACGAAATTGAAAGGATAAAATGAAACATCTGGTGTTTTAACCGGGTTGATAGGTACGAATGGCACATCTAGGGGAGTTGGAAAACCCTGGTTTTAAACGACTGGTGTACATGGGCCCTAGAATCCTCAGAGAACAAATGGCATATGAACTTACTGTTGATCACCAGCTAACAAGGAACTGCAAAGAAGCCGCCAGCCAAAACACACTACTTTAGCCATTTGAACTCTGCCCTGGAAGTTGGAAGGTCTTCCTTCCGAATGGTTGTAACACCTCATGATGAAAACTGAATTTCTTCGAAAATCATGAAACTGATGCAACTTCCGACAATCAAAGCAACATTTAATATAGGCACATGGAATGTTGGCACATCGTTTGAGCATGTAAGAGCTATTCAAGTTACTCCGGAATTGAACAGATACAACCTGGTGGTGATTGGAATAAGTGAAACCCATTGGATGCGGGTTAGACAAAAGGGGTTGGCTTCAGGAGAGATGTTATTTTACTCCGGTCATTGTCAATAAAGTGCCTCACACTTACAAGAAGTTGCACTGATGCTATGCAAAGAAACAGGAAAAGCTCTTATAAGATAGGAATTTCATGGACTCAGGATTATCAAAGCCTCCTTCAAAACCAAGAAAGGTCGGATAACAACAACCGATGTCATTCAATGCTATGCACCCACCAAAGATTACCATGAAGACGTTGAAGATCGATTTCAAGGGAGACTATGATCAATCGTAGAGAAATGACCGTGAGGGACTTACAAATCTGTATGCCTTCAACAAAATGGTTTTAAGTATCACCACACACACCCACACAAACGCATACATGAAGCTGCATTGATTTCATCAGATCACACTACAGAGGACCAAATCGATTACTTCTGAATAAATGAAAAGTTCGGAAGGAGCATGAAAAACATAACACAGGGAGAAGAATTGGCATAGTACATCACTTGGCGGCGGTGTCTGAGACGAAACTGAAACTAGAGGATCTCTGAACAACTGGCATACAGCATCAAAAAAGTTGAATACGACCTTTCTTCGAGATACTTGCAAACTGATAAAATTCAAAATAGCTCTCAGGATTAGCTTTCAGGCTTTGTACGATCTACCTTGGGGAACAACTGAAAAGTGACCAATGCGACATCAACTTCAGCGTGTCATGAGGGTTTAGGCCACAGGAGAGAGACAATGTTCATATTAGTATTAGATTCAAGTGCCCCCCGGGGACATTATATTCAGGTTTATATTTTGAGTGGTATGTGTGCTGTTTTCTATAGTCAGTGTTACATACAATACTTATGATCTAAACTATTTAAGAGTATGCCTTTTATCTAGTTTTTTTAAAATTATCTTTCTATAAACTATGATTACTAATCATTTATTTTACCATTCCATAAATAGGTTATTTTAACTGTTCGAGATCCGGAAATATGGCTGGCTGGTTGTCGTTCTACTATATTACCTAGAGATATAGATCAACCAAAATCATGGTCATTTCAATTGTTAAGACAATGTATTGGTTTAAAACAATTTCATGAATTATTTCTTATGAATTGTCGACGTGTATTTGGTGAGAATATGGATTTTACTAATGATACAGCAATGTTAACTGGTTTCATCAATTGGAATCAAAATGTTATCAAAACTGTACCAGCGGATCGTTTATTAAAATTTGATATTAGTCAAGGTTGGGAACCATTATGTGAATTTCTTAATTTACCAATACCAAATTGTCCATTTCCACATGTGAATGAATATAACGAATTAAGACGTTTATTAAAATTGGAAAAACGTGTACTGAAATTTTTACAATGGATTTTACCAATGTTCATATTATTTTTTATAGCTTATATGTTTTGTAAATTTCTATTGTAAACTTAATTTTTTTTCAATCAATCTATGTTAAAACCATAATAATAATAATAATATTAATAATAATAATAATGACTTATTTAAACACATGAAAATACTTTTGGGTTTTTTCCTCTTTATTGCCCTGTTTTCTTGTTCGCTGTTATTATTATTCTTATTGCCTATTGTGATTGTTTTGAAGTGTTTTTTGCGGGAAAGTTGTTGTTGTATTCTTCTTGCTCAAGTTGAGATTTCCTTTTTGTGTTGTGTACGTACTTACTTACTTATTTTACTTACATCAATTCAATCTACTCACTGTGTGTAATTTCTAATTGATAATGTGTTTGTGCTGTACCACTTACTGAGTAGTAGTAGTAGGAGGAGGAGTAGTAGTCCTGCGAAATTCAACCATATTGCTCAGGTTCTTTTTCTTCTATGTTGTTTGTATCATTTTGGACAATAATAAAATGCAATTCAATTTGTTGTATGAATGAATGTATTTGTTATTCGATTTATTTTTTAAACTGAGAGAAAAAAAAATCAATATCATGATTTATGCATAATCCGTCTTTTTATTTTTTTAGTGTTTTGGTTGTATTCCATAATAATCACTGGAATCTAATAATTTATTAATGTTTTTTGGGGCAGAGTTTTGGAGGTTTGCGTTTTTACACATTTGAAATCATCAATCAATCAGTGTTAGACCACCACCTACAATGCCGAAGGTCCGGGGTTGGAATCCTGCGAGGAGCACGAGTCGTGGATGTCACTGCTGATGAGTCCCATACCAGGACGAAACGGCCGTCCGATGCTTCCAGGTTTTTAATGGTGGTCTAACAATGATTGATTGATGATTTCAAATTTATTAATGATTATGCATCATCAATTTTCTTGTTTGCCAATTCTGTAAGAGATGTTAATATGGAAGGTGAGATGCTGTTGTTAGGAAACGGGTACTAGGTAAGGATGGCAGAACAATAGATGAAGTGGTGAAAGTTGATCAGCTGAGGTGGTTAGGACATGTGTTACGAATAGCCTAACCATCGACTGCCTCGACGAGCTAAGCTTTGTGGTGTGAGAGTAGGTTGGAAGAAAGTTAGGGGCGGTCAGACCAAAACATGGCAGAAATCCATGAAGTCACTGACAAGTGGACTGAGTCATGTTGGTAGATGTAGACTACCTGGTTGGGGTCCGCGAGACGAAAGTCACCAATGGTTAGAGACCTTGAACGACATGGCTCAAAATCGTTCGCAATGGCGCAAGTGCATCCATTCGTTGTGCTCTCTCAAATCCTAATCTTCTTGATTCGTCAGCACCTCTACCTTTGTCTTTCTAACCTTATCTCACTGAATTATACTTCTTGAATAATATCTTCAAACCCTAGTCTTTTTTTATTACCATTAATACTTCTGCTATCTTTATCACAATGGGATTAGACTTGACATTTGCATCTCTGTGCTAATGTAGTGTGGCAACATGAACTTATGTACATACGTACGAAGTTCTACGTTGCAACTGACTGCTTATTTAGTGCATGAATGAATTTCGCCTAAACAAGAATATCATAGAACACAAAGTGTTTTAAGATGATGAAGAAAATTTTGTAGCTCAGGTGGTGCTGCTTTATTTTTTAATTCTCTGTAAGCTAAATGTTTTGAGTTGTGTTTTTATGATTCAGTAACCAAATAAGAGGTAAGAGGTTGTTTGTGGCTTGACTAAATTAATGATAAGATTTTCAACTGAAGATGAGTGATACAAGTTACAGTTTTACAGAAAACATAATAACTCTTTCCTAAAGATTGCAATTACCTATTGTTAACAAGTACCAAACTAGCATGAAAATTTGGTCAGGCAAGGTTTTTATTGTCGGTTTTTTTTCCCAACCGGGTTCACATCATTATTATTTTAAGTTTTGATTAAAACAATGAGATTATAGCAGTTCATATTGTAACTTCAGCCTTTGGTTAGTTTGTGTCTATACCGAATGTACCTTGTGTGCTGGGGGGGGATATGAGGACCGGTGTATGAGATTATCTGGAAGAAGAAAGAACAAGAGAAAAAGATGAGCCGACGACTCAGTAAGCACATAGAACGCACTTACATACAATATACGAATAAAGCCAGCGTGAGATAACGACAAACTGATAAACGAAACTAAGAGACAATAGGGTTGGGTTTCGAATGCGCTACATGGCTCCCCTGATAGAAAAGCATTGTCCTCAGTGCTTGCGGTACCTGTGTTTCTATGAGGCTGAGTTACATGGAGTGGGATGGTCGCTGTGTGATGCGTCTGAATGTGAGCTAACTGAATCCCACCTCCACCACCAAATGTAACTTCAGCCTTTGGTTATTTTGCCTCTAAACCGAAGGTACCTTGTGTGCTGGGGGGGGATGTGAGGTGCGCTGTATGAGATTATCTAGAAGTAGAAAGAACAAAAGAACAAAAGAAAAAGATGAGTCGACGACTCAGTAAGCACATAGAATGCACTTACATACAATATACGAATAAAGCCAGAGTGAGATTACGACAAACTGACAAACGAAACTAAGAGATAATAGGGTTCGGTTTCGAATGCGTTACAATATATCTATTTGAATCAGCAACATCTTATTTAGTAGAAGGTACTTATGAAATGTTTATATAACTTTTGTAATATCTTGAATAAATTGTCATTGTTATCATTTCTTACAACACACACCGTCATATTATTTTCAATCAGTTCATTGTTCTGTACCTTGTTGTGTGCCTTCATACAATACATTATTAAAGTCTAAAATATTTTTATCTATGCCCACTCTACTTCCTTAAAGTTTATGTATATAAGAAACAATTTTTTGAAACCATGAATCGATCAATGTTAGACCACCATTAGAAACCTGGAAGCGCTGGACGGCCGTTTCGACTCCTCAGCAGTGCGCATCCACGACTCCTGCATCCCCCAGGATTCGAACCCAGTACCTTCGGTATTGTGCAAAAACGCCCTAGCCGTTAGACCGCTGAGCCGGTATCTAACAGTGTTAATGTCTAACTTGATCAAATTCACGGAGTTGCGCAACCTCATACACAGTCTTCGGTAGACACTGCCTACACCCGAACAGGTTGAACTTCACTGGTCACGTCTTTCCACAATTGTCACTAAATTAGGCTATTAAAACAAAAGAAAATAATAATAATAATTATTATTATTATATAATGTGAACAATGTAATTATTAAAACAAATATCTGAATAGGTAAAAATTTTCTCCGAGTTCAATTTTAGAATCAAAAGTATTTTACCTGATACTTAGCTTACCCAGGAAGTATGATTTAGGAATCATGTGTGATAATGCGAAAGGTGTACCAAAGAAGTACAAGCTCTTTACTCGAACACCATTGGTCGAGTGAGAGCTTATGGCGAACTGTCATCGGAATTCTTTACTTCAAGTGGTGTCCGTCAGGGATGTCCACTCTCTCCATTCTGGTTTAATTTTATCATAGACATGCTCCTAGAAATAACCTTATCCTGGTCTGAATTTTCTGGAGTAGACCTTTTACCAGGTGGCTCGCTTATTGACTTACAATATGCCGATGACATTGTCCTACTTGATGAAGACGCTGACAAAATGCAGAGTCTTCTGACCACACTAAGCAACAATGCAAGCATGTTCAGGATGCTGTTTTCCTCCTCGAAATGCAAAATGTTGCTTCAAGATTGGGTTTCATCGGCACCTGAACTAGTGATAGGGAGTGAAGTAGTCGAGTGTGTAGACCGCTTCACTTATCTTGGGAGTCTCATCAGTGCCGATGGCCTGGTGACTGACGAAATCTCAACTCGGATACAGAAGGCTCGACTGAGTTTTGCCAACCTGCGTCACTTATGGCGTAGGCGAGATATCCGTTTGCTGACTAAGGGACGAGTGTACTGTGCAGTAGTTCGCTCCGTTCTCCTATATGGCTGTGAAACATGGCCAGTGAGAGTAGAAGATATTCGTAGGTTATTGGTTTTCGATCATAGGTGTCTTCGAAGCATTGCTCGTATATCGTGGGACACCCGAGTGACCAACGCTGTTATTAGGAAACGGGTGCTAGGTAAGAATGGAAGATCAATAGATGAAGCATTGAAACTTCATCAGTTGGGATGGTTGGATCATGTGTTGCGTATGCCTAACCACCGACCGCCTCGTCGAGCTTTGTTTTGTAGTGTAGGAATAGGTTGGAAGAAAGCTAGGGGCGGCCAAACCAAAACATGGCAGAAATCCATGAAGTCATTGACGAGTGGACTTAGCCATGTCGGTAATTGTCGACTACTTGGTCGGGGTCCGCGAGATGATAATAGTTGATGGTTAGAGACCTTGAATGACATGGCTCAAAATCGTTCGCAATGGCGCCGATGCATTTATTCTTTGTGTTCTCTCAAATCCTAATCTTCTGGATTCTTCAACACCTCTAGTTTTGACTTTCTAAACTTTCGTCACTGAATCATACTTCTTGAGTAATATCTTCTAATCCTAACCTCTCCGATTACTTCTAATACCTTTACTACCTCTTCTAGTATTGGATTTGAATTGACAATTACATCTCTGTGCTGATGTGGTATGGCGACATGAACTGATGTACTTATGTACGAAGTTCTACGTTGCATCTGACTGACTGAATGCGAACGAAATATCCTCTCACGTTTTATCGAGCATTCCACAGTGGTAACTTACAAATACACCTACTTCTGTGAATGACAGATTGCTTTAGTAACTGGGTTTGATAAGTGTTCTTGTAGATCTATGTACACAGGTTGTTTAGTCAAGTAAAATTCATGTCTCTTCCAGTTGCACCTCATGCAACGATTCAGTATATATGAAGTCTTCTATTTTGCTATATACAATTAACTCAAATCATACCACACAAAATTCTACCCAATCATTGTCATCGCAATCTGTGAGGTAGCATACGCATCCTTATTGGTTGTGTTTCGGAAGAATTAGATACTTGCAATCTAAATCTGGATATGTTCTTGCAGAAGCATCTTGTACGACTTCCATAATTTTT